CCTTACTCTTCCATAGTTTAGGCTAACGAATCAGACCTTGGAGCATGCCAGAGGCTCCCCCTTTCTCTTTTACGCCACCTCTCTTTCGTGTTCGAGATGGGAGGATGGGCTCTGGAATCTCATCGCTTCAGTTCAAATCCTGGCCTAAGGATCGCTAACTGTGGAACTCTCCGGAATACTTCACGCTCTGCCTCAGTTTCCTCATCGCTAACATGGAGGTAAGGCTCCCTCACAGGTTTGGGGCGAAGATTACAGCAGATAAAGAAGGTAGAAGAGAGAACAGGGTTTGGTGCTTCTGAGTACTCAATACATGTTCGTGATTAATATGGATTGATATTTGTGAAACCCAGGGCTTAAAGTGTTAATTTTTTCCGGTGACTGTATGTTAAAATAAGAACAGTACAGGGGCTCCTGGGGGTCTTAGTTGGTGAAGCGTCTGACTCTTGCTTTCGGCTCAGGTCGTGATCTCACAGTTTGTCATCCGGCTACGCGCTGACAGTGCGGAGCCTGCTTGGGATTCTCTCTCTCCCCCTTTCTATGCCCCTCCCCGCCTGCTCTTGTCTCTCTCTCAAAATAAACTTAAAAAAAATCTTTTTTTAATTAAATAAGAACAGGCCCACTAAAACCACGTTTTTGAGGGTTGTCACAATCTAGAATCATCTCAAGTACCAGTGTCCGTGCCACACATTAGGCAACGCTGTCCACACACATTCATTCATCTTCCAGTTGTTCTCATCAAGGCTTTAGATGGCATTTATCATGTGGGTGGAGAGTCAGTGGATTACATAGATGAAGCAGCATTTTCCTGATCTCCACTGAGCGATCAACTCCACGGGCAGGGGAGATGAGAACAGTGACCATGCTGTGTACGTGGAGGAGAACATTTCATCATGGTATGGCCCTCTTGTTCCAACGTACAAGCCAGTTCCCTCAGGAGACAGTGTGACGTGGAGAAAAGAACCAAGGATTATTCCAAACTATTCCAAATTCTAAGACAACTTGGCCCGTCACCCAGATTCTACCCCTGTGAAACCCTAGGCTTCTTTCTTAAGTTCTGTCAGGATGATTTCTCCTCTGTAAAGGGGACATACCATCTACCTCAGGGCGTGGGTGGGGGATTCAATTTGATGAGATGGCAGGTAGGGAATGGGAGCTCTCCTCAGATTATTGACATACAGGCCGCGGAGCATGTGCCCAGGTCTCTTCAGTGGTGTTAATGCTCTCTAGGGTCTACCTCAAAATCTACCTCATTGGGAAAGCAGCCGTTGGCCTACTAAACCAATTTAGTATTGGCCAGTATGCACTGCAGGCTTTCCAAGTTCAAGACACAACTCCAAAAGCTTTTGCGTGTATTCCTATCACAATGGTATATTGTATAGGATGAGGTCTGAAAAATCCTATTTTACATATAATGAAGCTGAAGCATGAAGCATATAATTATGCAGGTCACAAAGCTGATAAATGGAGGAGCAGATAACCACTAAAATTGTCGAGCTACTAGTTAACATAGGACGATAACTCATGCCCACAGAACTATAGGACCACATCATCTAGTTCAGTGATTCCGAGAGTGATTTTGTTCCCTAGGGGACATTTGGCAATGTTTGGCAACATTTTTCGTTGTCACAGCTGGGAGGTGGGGGCAAGGGATGCTGTCTACAATGCACAGGACAGGCCCACTCCCCAAAGAACTATCTGATCAAAACATCAGTAGTGCTGAGGTTTAGAAACCCAACGTAGGGGGCAGGCAGCTGGGTAGCCCTGTCAGTTGAGCAACTGACTCCGACTTAGGTCATGATCTCGCGGTTCGTGGGTTCGAGCCCCACATTGGGCCATCTGCTGACAGCTCAGAGCCTGGAGCCTGCTTTTGGTTCTGTGTCTCCCTCTCTCTGTGCCCCTCCCCTGCTCATACTCTCTCTCTCTCTCAAAAATAAACATTAAAAAAATAAAGCCCAATATTTAGAACTGTAACTATTTAGAACTCAGTTAATAACTTAGAAAAGGCCATTGAATCTCTGAGATTCCAAAACTGGAAGGCCAAAGGTTGGGCGGCAAATCACAGACATTGTTACCAGAAATCCTTCCAGCAAGGACCTGGAGCCAATTGTCTAAGGCATAGTCATCTGGTGATGAAGATAAACTGATTAAAAGCCCTAAGTAAGATGCTGTGGATGAGTAGAAAGGAAGAGGGAGGAAGCGTAAGTGACAATAGTCAAAAAGATAGTCAAGGGCCTGCTATGCGAGGGAAGGAGCCTAGAAGACAAAGTCATGTGAATGGAGGCAGTTTCTGGGACAGGCAAGATGGCAGCCAGGAGACGTAGTGACTTCACGTCCCGGTCACCAATGACATTTGGTGCATCTCTTGTGATGGAACTTTTGTGATTGCTTTTTTAAAAAAAGGACTTGAGACTGCCACTTGAAGAAGACGACAAATTGGAAAACTTGTGACTTTTCCCACAATAACCGAGTGTGGTTAAATGGCTTAATCACGATGAACAGGATCAAAAGGTAGGAAGCTGACCTGAGTATTTTTGCTTTATTCCATCTAATAAACATTTTATTTATATAAAAGACAAACGATGCATAGAATGAAAATAAGTGCTTGAGACATTTGATATAAAGAGTATATAGCATTCACATTCCTATTTTAATACATGAGTACTGAAGTGTTCCATAAAAGAATAAAACTTTCCCTTTATGTATAGTAGTAAAAAAAAAAAATCAGTATTTTTAGGAACTACAGAATGTTATTCCTTGGTCTTTTTCTTGACAAGGAAAAAAAAAAAAGCCACAGTATCATCTGACACTACATTCCAGTTTATGCTGATGACCACCCAGAAGTGATAAAGCTCTTTTGAATCTTGGAAAATCCCATTAATGGACCAGTATTCTAGAAATTCACCACTAGAGGTCAATGAGCAACAGCTATTGGGACAGCATCTAAGCCCTAAGGTGCAAAGGAATTTCCGGGCACTTCCAAAGTACTGCAGACAGACTGTCCCGAGCTCTCTCAGCCCACCCCCACTGAGAAGGGTGCCTACAAGGTTCATCTAATCCCAAATCTCAGCCTATCTGCTAAAACTTCAATGAGAGGAGACCTTCCAAAATCCAGATGGAACTGATTTGCTCACTGCCAGTCCTAATATTCCTATTTGGCTGAAAATAGGTAGCTTCAACAACATTAAAAAAGAGATTATTTGCAGCATTAACATTTGTGGATTAACAAATTCCTATGGAGTATTAAAGCTCATTCTTTGTTCTTGCCCATTCGGACACAGACTTCCTAAATGCAAAAGGGACTGTGTCCCACATTCAAGTCCTTGCTAGCAAATCCTGCAAAGGGCGGGGAAGGCTGGTATGGTGGAGAGACTGATAACCCTGGCAAAAGCTTCTAGGTAAGAGCTCCCCTCCGTAATGCGCAGGGGAAAGCTCTTAACATATAGGCAAAATAGATTTGGCTTAACTGGGACCACTTGAGGGGGTCCCCTTCAGTCCAGAAAAACCCACCAACTTAAAATCTTAACACCAGACCAGGAAGAGAGAGGCAATCAAACTCATATGATCTAACCAGAGAATGGCTGACATAACGCACATTTCTTACAAGGGGCCTTGGTTACGGGCAGGTTGAATTCCTAGCCTGGGATGGGGTGGGCAGTGAAAAATGCCAACGTTTACAGCGAGAAGTAAAGCAGCTTTAAAAGTGTGTCCACACCTTTGTCTTGTGAATAATGTGGACTGGGGAGAACTGGAAACCATCTGCTATCTGTCTTCACTTGGGAGGATCCAGATTTTCTGTTTTGCAAAATCTCCAAATATTTAAAAAGTGGCTCAATTTTGTTCAACGCTGTGCTGGCCAAGCAAAACACATGTTCAGAGTGCCTGAGGAAACAGCTCTGACCATGGCAGTGTCATGCAGCTCGAATCCTTCTGACTAGGCCAACATGTACTGAAGCATCCAGGAGCCCAGAGAGATGGAAACTCTTGGCGTTTGCACAGAAAGCTGGAGACTCAAACCGAGCCTGATGAGAAAATGAACACAACGAACCCTCGACAGGAGACGTATTCCCTTTAAGGAAAGGGAATCTGGGTGGGAGGAGAGAAGAGTAACATAGATATGGCAGGGGGATTAACAAACAGAAAGAACGATCTGTCATTAGTAGAATATGCGGCCACTTCCTAAGTGGGGAAATCTGTTCTGATTTTTATGCCCGTGAAGCCTGGGAAGCTAAAAGCTCTTGGAGATGGGACAGGGTTTCTGTGCTGGTCGAGAAAGGTGACTCACAAACCGATCGTGGGCTTGAAGCTCAAGTGAGAAGTCCAGGAGACCCAGTCTCCCAGGATCTGGTCCCCAAACAGCGTGACTCTAATTAGCTCCATGGGCAGAAAAGGAGCTAATTCCACGTGCACGGAGTTATTAGTTTGCAAAAGCAAGTGCAGCGTGGCCACGGCTGGCTCGGAGCCTCGGAGCCCCTCTCCTGATGCAGAGCCCCCACCTTGTGTAGTCAGAGAACCAGCGCACGTGTGATTGTCAAATGCTAATGCTGTCACGGATCCCTTCCTTCTGTGCCTGGTTCCGGAGCGCTCCAAACAAACCAATTTCCTGGGATGTTTGATCTTTTTTCCTTGTCTCTTTCCAGAGTATGGCTGTATATATATATATAGATATAGACATATATAGATATATATAAAACATAGCTATTCCATATTTATATACAGGCATTAATAAAGTGCACGTTATTGGCTATTGTAAAAATCAATCTCATTTCCTGAGGAAGTGCTAACACAGCTTATCCTATGACAATGTCAAAGGCGTAGAATGCTTCATGATACCCCCTCCCTGCTGCTGGTGTTTCTGCTCACGCCCACAGCTCACGGGGAGGGGAGTGGCCCCCGGGGCCTCCAGGAAGCATTGGTTCAGGGTCAGGGGCAGCTTCCCGCTGCCTCTGTTCTTTGGTGACAAGGGCAGCCTCTTTAGATCAGCGCAGCCTGCCCCGAGAGAGCTATTTGGTAGTGTTCAACGAGCCATCTTCGGGAATCTTCTCCTCGGAGCAGCTCCTCCCCGAGAGCCTGTCCAGGTGCTGCAGTTCACTGAAGCGCTCTGCCACGCACTGGGCCGTGAGCCGGGCCTCCGGGTCATGGTCCCAGCACTCGGTCAGAGTCTCGCACACCATCTGGATGCCCTGCGGTGGGAGAGAAGTCACAGAAGTCACAGTCACGCGGAGCTGCTGGTCTGGGGGGGCTCCTGCTGACCTCGCCCCTGCGGTGCTGGCTGGGTGCCAGCCCCACGTCCCGATTGAGCACCCACGAGGCGGGGCCGGCCACTCGCCTGTGGAACAAAGGGGCGTGCGCTGTCCTGGAAGCCTGCTCTACCCATCCGCTCCTGCGCCATGGCATCACGACAGGTCGTGAGATGGAGAGCCAGCACGTCTGATCGCGACAAGGACTCTCCAGGAGGCCTCTGAGGTGCAGTAGCATCCCCGGTACCGGAAAATTCCCATGAAGTGGCCCCTGACACCCTGTCACGCCTTCCTATTTCTTTAGAGCAGTTTTTGGCCTTATTGTTCAGGGTGGTCTTAGGTTCATAGCAAAACTAAGTGGAAAGCACAGAGGGTTTCCGAACACCTCCTCCCCTGACACGTATAGCGTCCCCCACTACGGACATCTCACATCGTGTGGTACGTTTATTCCAGTCAAGGAACCAACACGGACACATCACTACCAAGCGAAGTCCGTGGTTTATAGCGGGGGACGTGCTGGGGGTTCTGCTGAATGTACAACGGCATGGAGGCACATGGTCATAGCCCACCGAGTAAGTTCCCTGCCCTAAAAGTCCTCTGGACCCCACCACCCCTCCTTCCTCTTTCCCTGAGCCCCTGGAGACCACTGATCTTCCTGCGTCTATGGTTTTGCCTTTTGAGAGCACCTTATAGTTGGAATCACAGACACCTTTCTATTTAAACAGGGTTAACTACCCCAGTCAGAGTGAAGTCCAAACCTTGGGCTGGTTTCCTCCTGTGAAGTCCCACGTTCTCTGGACAGCTTCCGGCAGCTGCCAAGGATGACCCCTCGTGCCCCGCTCCTGCCAGCGACATCAGGCTGCACCCTAGGAAGCAGCTGTCTTTTTAAGTCAGCCGTGCTAGACTCCAGGCTCTGTCAGGGGTTTCGTCCAGCCCCATAAACACGCCGTTCAAAAGGGCCATTTGGGGGCGCCTGGGTGGCTCAGCTGGCTAAGCGTCCGACTTGGGCTCAGATCATGATCTCACGGTCCGTGAGTTCAAGCCCCGCGTCGGGCTCTGTGCGGACAGCTCGGAGCCCGCTTCAGATTCGGTGTCTCCCTCTCTCTCTGTCCCCCCCCCCCCCCCCCCACTCGCACTCTGTCTGTATCAAAAACTAAAAAAAGGAGGGGGTGGCATTCAGGAAATGCTGCCCAGTACGGTGGCAAGGGTCTTCTCTCACGGGTGTAATTTTTATTTTGCAGTGCAAACACGTTCATCATTTCAAGTCCTTTTTGGCAACCAAGCAGGCAGGGGTTAAACAGAGAGGCAGACGTAGAGGGTGCGTCCGACAGTTAGAGGCTCCCCATGGTCACTGGTGATCTTTGATACAAGTGGCCCGGGTGGGACGGATATACCCCAGCACCTGCCCCGAGAACCAGCACGTTGCTGTTGAGCATCTACCACAGGTAACTTTCCCAACACACCTAGGAGCCTCTCCTTCCCTTCCTGCCCTGTGAGTGAATTCATGATGTTGAATTAATTGTAAAATTCACCTAATTGACGGTATTGATTGATGACCTGTTAAGAGTGCAGTGGTACTGTTGGTACACAAGTAACATTTATTTTATTCTGGCCCTGTAATTACAGGCAGTAAATTAAATTAAATATTAAGCATGAACGTGAAATCAATAGGGCAACAAATCTCATTAAAAGAAAAAATGTATTATGCAAATTCTTTCCAGAATTTTATCATCGTGAATAATGGCTGCATTACAAGAACCATACAGCAGAGGAGGCAACGGGGTTTGAAAGAAATAACCCCAGTGCCTGCTGACTTCGGAAGGAACACAAAACGGCCTTGCATTTTCAGCCAAAGAGGGTTTGCCCGAAACCCCGGGGAAGCCCTGGGCTACCATGGCCTGGTTCAAGCTCTACCCCGACTTTATTAGGGACTGTCTGCTGAAGTGGCTCCGGGCCAGGATTGGCACCGACCAGGCTTCCGGCTCCATCTGTCTTCCTGATTGTGCGTGATTTGTTGTTTCTGTTGCTTATCTCAATTTGCCTTGCCCTTTGGAAAACCTACGACTTAGCCCAGCCTTCACTGGATAAGGGAATTCTTCCAAAGGAGGCCATCAGAGGGTCTACCCAGGAGAAAGATCAGCTCTGTCCGTGAGACAGGAGCACACGGCTCCCTCTCGTCCTTCCTTCACGCTCTCTCCCGAGTATGTCGCACAGCTCTCTTGCCCTGGCAACCTATCACTCACTTTCTTCTTCTTCTCTGATCTCCGCTCTCGTCAAAATGCCCCCAGAGAATTTGGATAGTTCACCCCAAAAGTCCAGAACCGCTGCCCTTCCACAGATGCCCTTGCCTACCATCTCTTGGAAAAAGAAAAGAAAAAGCAGCAGCCCTGAGGATGCTCCCCACAGACAGATTTCCTATTTGTTCACTTGGACCTTCCTACGTCTCCCGGCTTTCTTTTATTGCAGAGCTGGTGTCCTTCCAAACCCAGTGTGCGCGGCCTGCACACGGCCATGAGCACACGGCACCCGCCCCCCAGTCCCACTGGGGGACAGACTCTGCTTACTTCTCACTCTTAGAGCAGAAGATTCCCAGGAGACGATATTTGGAACCCAGAAGGGAACAAAACATAAACACGCTACGTAAAGGCTTGGGGGGTGAGGGGCAGAGGCTGCAAACAAAATATTTTAACGCCAGACCCAAGCGGGCTTGCGTAATGGGACGATGGCCTGCAAATGATTACTGGAGAGCCCTCTTTGAGTGGCGTGTCTGCCGTGTGAATCCACTTTGGTCACATTTTCTCTAGAAACAAAACCTAGCAGGATCGTGGAGCACCAAGCGACCCGCCCTCCGACTGAAGCCCAATATCCTAAAATTCTCTCCTCTACTAGAGGCTGCTTCAGACAAATCTGCTTCTCCCTTCAAAACAGCAACTCCTTACCTGGTGGTTGAGCCAGGAGCTGGGAATTTCTGGTCGTCCTCGGTCTCTCAGCACATTGTCCTTCATGCTCTCAACACAGGGATGCTCCCGCACCTTGGAACCAAATGGAGGCTCGTACTCTTTCACCTCTGTTAAAGAGAGCAGGTGAACAAGGCCGCTGAGAAGGGCGTGGGCAGCTTGGGGACAAGAACAAGGTGAGCGGCCTGGCTGAGTACCCTGAGCCACCGAGCATCAAAATATACCTGTGATTCCTCTGAGAGCAATGCTTGAAGAAGAGTGGATTAAAATAAGAAAGGAGGAGTAGTTGTGGAAAGAGCCAGAGAAATAATGGATAATTGTTGAGCTCTTGCTATGTGCCAGGGACTGTGCTAATGGCTGCGGACAGTGAAGAATGGGACCAACAAGGTCCCTCAGCTTACATTTTCAAGCAGGCATTCTCAGGGGGATGATGTTGCCCCAAGAAGGCAACGCTGGTTCTTGGAGGTGGAGAAATCTTACACATTACGATGGTTTGTAGCCCTACAAAGGTCCCTAGGACACACACAGGTTTAATAGGTGGTGGCAAACTTCATGGGGATACCCAGCCTAAAAATGAATGAAATTCTGACACAAGTTACAACCTGGATGAACCTCAAGCATATTATGTTAAGTGAAAGAAGGCAATCACAAAAGGAGAAATATCATCTGATTCCATTTACATGAGGCACCTAAAATGGACTAATTCATAGAGACAGAAGGTAGACTGGTGGTTGCTGGGGACTGGGAGGGTGCGTGTGTGTGGGAGAGAGATGGAGGGTTGTTGTTTAATGGGTACAGAGTTTCAGTTGGGGAAGATGAGAAAGTTCTGGAAATAGGTAAGGGGGATGGTTAAACATCACTGTGAATGTACTTAATGCTAGTGAATTCTACACTTAAAAATGATTGAGACAGTGAATTTTAGATTATGTATGTTCTTCCAGGAAGGAAAATCACTGATGCAGAGTAAGGATTAAGAAAAAAAAACTGTTGGGGCGCCTGGCTGGCCCAGTCGGTAAAGCATGCGACTCCTGATATGAGGGTCATAGTTCAAACCCCACCTTAAGTGTGGAGCCTACTTAAAATTAAAACACACACACACACACACACAAAAGAGAAGAAAAGAAAAAAAATGTTTATAAAGACTCCTAAGGCCAGCAATGATGACAAAAACATGGAGCAATGCTGTTTAGTGGGATCGCAGAGGAGAGAGATTGACAACACATCAACAAACAAAATTTAAAAAGGTAATTTTCCTTTAGTGGTACATGTGACAAAGATGATCAGAGAGGATGCTGTACTCCTTCCCTAGGGCTTCAGATTTCAACTAAAGTGAATCTCTTTATAGAAACTTCCTTGAATATCCTTCAAGACATTCCTGGCTAGATGTCCTGGGCAGAGCTCTATGTTAGCATGTATCATATTTTGCTGTAGTCAAATTTATTGGTCTCATCTAACAAGATTGTGTGCATCTGAGAGTAGGTTCAGACTCCCTTTGGTCATCCTTGTATTCCCAGCACCCCTGGTAGGGCCTCCTCTACAAGAGGCTCTCAATTAATACTTTGTTGAGGGATGGATGGATGGATGAATCTTAGATCCCATCCAAAGTGGCAATGCCTAAACTCTAAGTGAATACTAAACGCAGTAAGTGGGTGGGGATCCCCTACATGTCAGTATGGCACAGGACAGCCTAAAAGACTGAAAACACTCCAGTACTAAAACATATCTGGGGGCACCTGGGTGGCTCAGTGGGTTAAGCATCTGACTTCAGATCAGGTCATGATCTCGTGGCCTGTGAGTTCGAGCCCTGCGTTGGGCTCTTTGCTGACAGCTCGGAGCCTGGAGGAGCCTGCTTTTGGTTCTGTGTCTCCCCCTCTCTCTGCCCCTCCCCCACTCGTACTCTCTCTCAAAAAAATGAATAAATGTCAAAAAATAAAAATAAGTAAAACATGTCTGTGCTGGAAATGGAGGATGGGCTGGATCCAACATTTTCCCTACAGAAAGCATGACCTTGGGCTTTTAGCAAAATAATCTTGTTTAATGAGTAAAACTTTCAATAAGTTGCCCTTCCAGGCTAAGAACTGAAGAAGCTTTTGAGGCAAATGCCATTTTGAAAATGGATTGCCTGTTCTTGTTTTCTCCCCTTTCCCAGAACACCACTTGCAGATTCACCTTCTGTGGCACCTCCTCTAGCCCCCAAATAGAAGATCTTTTTTCAGGAAATTTGTGATGAAGGCTTCCCATCACATTGAGGTGAGCACAGACCATCCTTTGGTGTGTCCACTTTTGCCCTTCCAGTGCCACAGCACTAAACCCTTACCCTTACTGCTCTCGAGGTGAGACCTGAATTTTGATCTGCATAATATTTCTTTCTTCCATTCCCTCATCTTCTTCTACAGACTGTACATTCCTAAGGCCTAAGGCAGAGGCTGAGTCTAGTGTCCTCTGATTCTCTGCTCAGTGCTAAAAATTGTGCCATATACATAGCAGGCATTCGACAGATAGGAGCTGGGTCGAATTCTAGAAGCCGAGGACTGGTAATCAGAGCGGGTTCTCAGTACAGTTTACTCTGATCTAAATATTGTCTTCTATAAAAGGAAGGGGCTGAAGTGGATGACCTCCCTGTCGCCCTCCGGATTATCTTGTAATCCAACCTAGTCAAATAATATGATGCTCTCTTACTTCCATGTCTTGAGGTATGCATATTCTAATACAATATAATGGGATAGGATTTGTATATGATATAAAGTATTCCTTAGAAAATGTATCAGTCCACACACTCTCCATTTCCAACTGTTTTGGCTGCCATAGCTGGCATTGTTGGCTCCCTGGCTCTATACCTTAACCAAGCCAAGAGCACCAGCCCCCAGCTGCCACAGGTGTTGAGTCCTAAGAGGCCACAACTTCACCCTCCTCTGGAGGATTGCCCATCGCTGATGAGAGCTGCCTGGCCTAGACTTTTCCAGAAAGCCTCACCCTGAGAGACAGCCGGCAGCCAATGATAAATTAACGTGGGAGTATTAATAGTCTAACCCTCTTGCCTCTGCAGGGAGATAACCATGGTACAGTTCATACTCTAGAGTTCCCCATGCGATGAGGCTGAGGCTAGACCTCTCCTGAAACTACAGGCTTACAGAGGTTCTCCCCTTCCCTTCCTCCCTTCTCCTGAGACCTCATCCTCAGTAAACCACTGCACAGAACTCTTTGTTTTAGATTAGTTCTAGGAAAGCCAGCCTAAGACAGCAGTCAAAGAACTGTTTTCTCTTCAGGTCAATCTCTCAGCTAAACTGCACCACCGGACCCTGGTTGCAAAGCCACCCTGAGGAAGCCTGGACAGGGCTTCTTCTTTAGAAAGTGAATGTACTAACCCATCAACAATTCCCACAGCACAGTGCTCAGAAAGGGGCGGGGGATGACTGCAGTCAGGGAAGGAAAATGGTGGGATCAGAATCAATCCCAGGTGTTGAGCTCATGGCTAAGATTCCTAGAGAACAAAGAAAAAAAATCTCCAGAGTTGAGGTCATTATAACCCAGGGCCAATTTATTTAATTTCCAGTTCTAATCTTCAAAGTTCCACAAACCACAGTGTCTAATTTTGTAAGTTCTGTGGGGACTAACGCAGGTTTCCATGGGGAATGGGGGCGAGCTGACGATGGCAGAGGGCATTAGGCACGGGCTTGTTTTCTGCTTAAAGAAAACGTAATGAATGCCCCTTTGGAAAAGAAGACAAAGGCGACAGTCCTTTCCCAGAGTGAAGAGAATTTTAACTGGATTACTTCCTACTTTTCCTAAAGCCTTGGGAAGCTGGGAGATTTGTCAGATTCCCTGGTATCCCTGAGGGGTAGGAGTCTGTGACTTGTGGGAGGTAACGTAGGCAGGTGAGGTCAAGGGCAGTCTGAAGATGGCTGGCCAAGGAATGGATTCTCTGAGCTGAACTGGGAGAGTGTGGATCTATGAGTCTCCTTTTCAGTTTAAATTAGACAAGTCTGGGGGCGCCTGGGTGGCTCAGTCGGTTGAGCGTCCGACTTCAGCTCAGGTCATGATCTCACAGTCCATGAATTTGAGCCCGCGTCGGACTCTGTGCTGACAGCTCAGAGCCTGGAGCCTGTTTCAGATTCTGTGTCTCTGTCTCTGTCTCTCTCTCTCCGTCTCTCCCCCACTCATGCTCTGTCTCTGTCTCAAAAATAAAAACATTTTAGATAGATAAATAAATAAATAAATAAATAAATAAGACAAGTCTGGGGCACCTGGGTGGCTTAGTTAAGCGTCTGACTTAGCTCTGGTCATGATCTCACAGTTTGTGAGTTCGAGCCCCACACTAGGCTCGCTGCTGTCAGCGCAGAGTCGGCTTCGTGTCCTCTGTCCCCCTCTCTCTCTGCCCCTCCCCCACTTGCACGTTCTCTCTCAAAAATAAACACTAAAAAAAAAAAATTAGACAAGTCTGGGTGACCATGCTGTGACCCACACTGGCACACCCCCATCCCTTAATAACGAGGTAGTCTTTCCAGTGAGGAAACAGGATGGAGACTTCAAGTATATGCATGTTAAAAAAAAAACTAAAGTGTATGCATATTTTCAGCTGACTTTTCTTCAACTCCCGGTGAATGTCATATTTACATAACATATATTTTTCAAAACAGCTAAGTGGGCTTTTTGTCTTGAGGATTTTTGCAATTCCTCTTTCTTTGCTTTTCGCCCTCAGTTTAAACGTACGCACTCCCACCCAGTTTTTTAAATCATGCCCTATAACATGTAAAGATGACCTGTGCTTGGCAGCATGTGTCCCTCTGCTTCTCAGTCACCGGCTTGAATCTCTGATTGTGGAGACCACTGTCTGCCAACATTCTTTTCCTTTTTTTCCCTTCTGTGGCTGTGAAGGCAATGCCTTCTCAGGTCTCTAATCAGGTTGTGGAGGATGACCGCGGACAGACACTGTAAGAGAGGCTGTTTCTTTCTTCCTGGAGGCCAGGTGCTAACTGCTCCTCGGGTCTGCTCAGAGGCCCTCAGGATACCGTGCATATTTTCTTTGCTTCAGCAGGAGGAGGCGGCCACAGAGACCGAGGTGGAGGCCTAAGCCCTGGGGCAGGTGGTTGAGGGCAGGAAGCCTCTGTCA